GCTGTGGGCCGGTATCGGCTGTGTGCCGGTATCGGCTGTGGGCAGGTATCGGCTGTGGGCAGGTATCTGCTGTGTGCAGGTATCGGCTGTGGGCAGGTATCTGCTGTGTGCAGGTATCGGCTGTGGGCAGGTATCTGCTGTGGGGGCATCAACAAGAGGAAGGCCCTTGAGGAGGTGGACCGTCACAGCGGCTGCAGCAGTGAGCTCAAACATAAGAACGTTGGGGAGCACGGCGCAGAACCAGCTGGTGCTCCGTTCTATTGCACACGGAGTGGCTATGAGGCGGAACAAGTCAATGACACCCCTTCCCAGGGGTCCGTGTGGCCCCTTCGTGCAGTCAGCTTGGGAAAGAGGTGGGGCATTTTAATCCCAGTGCCACTGAACATTACTTGCTTCCAGAATAATAATAAATAGGCGTTCCCTAATTTTCAAAAGCCAGGAAAGGGGTGTAACCATAGGAAGAACCTCCCAGGTCATGTTCCTCTCATTTAAGTCAGCTTGAAGCTTTGACAAATTCCAAGAGCCACACCCAGAAACCACGTAACCTTCCTTGATGGAGTCATTAAAAAATAAAAATTGCAATGGGACCCCTGCCTCTCTCAAGGGCAGAACATCCCTGGCTAGTTCTCGTCAGATCTTGCTCCTGTGTTTAACTTTAGAAAGCTCCCACCCACCCCACCCAACAAATCTCTGCAGATATTTTTAGGCAATTCCTGAGTAGGCTCCTGTCGCCCCGATTACTTTCCTCAGGTAATACGTGTACACACTGAAGACAATGGACGAATGCATCGTGTGCTTACTGTGCTGGCTGCACAAAGATAAAGCTAACGCAGCCTCTGTACAATGCACTCACGCAGTAACACAAAAGACCACACAGAACTGAACACTGCCCAGAGGCCAGAGGAAAGGAAGAGGCGGCGGCAGAAAGATGTGGGCAAGGGCCGCCAAACTTAATGCAAGGCCTGGTCACTTGAGGAAGCGGACTTGTTTGCCCTGCTCTACCCAGTCCCTGGGGCGAGGCATCATGCTTGGTAGAGGGGAGGGGCACCCAAAAAGAGGAAGACCCTCCGCGGGATGGATTGGCAACAGTGGCGGCAACAATGGGCTCGGGCCCGGGAAGAATTATGAAGATGGTACCGGATGGGGCGGCGTTTCATTCTGCCGTGTGCAGGGTCGCCACATGGGTTGGAATCCACTTGATGGCACCTAACCACCACCACCACCACCACCTCCACCACAACCACCATCGCAACCACGCCCAGTCCTGACTTACACGGCAGAGTGGGCTTTGCTTGGCAGCAGACTGATCTCGTCCAATCAATTACAGCCACCATTCCTTCTGGGCAATATCAGCCCAAGTTGACAGCAACCCCCTGATTTTACATGGCTGTCATGCGCCAGAACTTGGGCTGGGATACACCTCCGGGTTTACGAAAGACGTGATGAATATAACTGCCTTGTGATTTTTCAACAAGAATCCCAACATACAAATGTGTGTAAGTGGCATGCCTCCAAACTGCCCCTTAGCTGGTGGACTGCTCACCAACGCCATCACCATCAACCCTCTTTGAGACCTCGGACTGGAGACCGACTTGGGGATGCCTAGAAGACAGAGTGGGGACAACAGCCTGGCCTGCTCCAGACTCCTGGCCTCTGCATCGCCACCTGGCAGAGCACCTCAGTGGGATGGCCAGGGGCTTCAGCCTCAGTCCTGCTGACTGTAGAGCTCCCCACCGTCACGAGCAACCCATCCCACCTGCTGGGGCTACTTTCAGATCAGGAGGGTCCATTACTTTCGATTTCACTTCTCGCTGGTGGTCCCAAATGAGAGACCCCTTCTGCCTGTGACCCTTGTTCCTCACATTTGGCATCTTTGTGAAGGAGGTCCTTTTATTTTCCGTTTCAATGGTTTCAGCTCCATCAATGATGACGAACATCAACATCATGGTCAAGAGAAGACCATCTGTAACCATGGAGGATACTTGTGATGGTCAGAGTTTATGTTAACTGGACACTCCTGAGTGAAGGCAGGGGTGGAGGCCAACCTAACATGTGGAAACTGGATGGCACCTCTCGTTAGGGGAGAGGTCTTTTGTGTAAGAGAGAAACTGAGCAGAGCTAAGCGCTCTTGCCCCACGGCCTTCTACTGGCTGATTTGTCGACCTCCTGGTCTATCGCCTGCAGATCCCAGGAGCCCTCAGCAGACTGCTGACCTTGGGCTCATTTGGCTGACCTTGCATTCGTTTACCTCTGCATGCAGCAGCCTGTAGGCCCTCCTGCTTCCTCATTTATCAGCTTCCACAGCTACACAAGTCGGGAGGAAGCCTCCAGCTTATATCTGACCTATGGACTTAAACTGAACTGGACTTAACCTACTTCTACAACTGTGTAGGCCTTTACTTGATATAAACCTCCTCTTTGTATCTGCATACACATACAAGCAACACTGGCTTTGCTTCTCCAGAGAGCCCGGGCTGACACAATGCTCAACTAAAGGCAGACTAAGTTCAGGAGGGTCTGGGCAATAGCATCACGACACCCTTTGAAAGAGGATGCTCAAAGTACCCTGGGAAAAGGGCCAGGGGGCTACACCTGACCTCTTCTGACTTCCTAAGGCGAGTGGGATGAGGCTCAAACTCTTCATGAACCGAAGGCCGATTCATAAGGTCAGACATGCATCCACCCTCCAACCTTCTTTGTCAGTCCCGACATCAACCATCTCTCCCAAGGCCTTTTCTACTTCTCTGCCAGGTTTGACGATCCCTTTCAATGGCCCACAGAACTCCCATATCATATCATGACTAGAGAGTTTATCAGGAAGCTTAGCAGGGTCCAATGCAGAATCGGAAATACTCAAGACACAGTTTTTCCAGCACCTCTCCTCAGCCATGCCTGCTGGTATACTTCTTTCTGATCCCAGACGCTCAACCTTGTGATCTCCTGGCCTATACCCTGCTCGGACAACGTTATCAAGTACTTTTAACCCTGTTAATCAGCCACACTGGCAAACATGCCTCTCTTTGGTCCTTGGCCTCTGGCCACTCAGGCAAGGTACAAAGCTCCTTCAGCACTGCCAATATATGCCCAAAGGGCAGGCTACTCCATCATCAGCCTCAGTCCTAAGGTGCTGGCCTCAGGAGTCAGCAAACCGAACACCCCATGCCACAAGCAAGCCTACTGCCCAAAGGCACTGTGGACTAGGAAGCCCACTGCTCCGCTCTGACTTGAGCTCTTGGTTCTGCTGCCTCTCCCGTCCTGCTTCTCTGCCACTTTTCCATTGTTACAGCCCTGTGTCTCCTGGATCAAAGGGGTTCAGCGTGGGGATCTTGGGAATCCAAAGAACATGCTCACCCCTGATTCTTCTTCCTTGATGGCAATGGACCCCCCTGTTCCTGCTTCTGAGGTGGCTCTTTTTAAACCTAGCAGGATGACAAAACTGACCAATTCCTTCATTACAGTCCCCTGCACCTGATTTGCATGGCCACACCTCACCGTTTAGAGGCAGTTACAAAGACTACTCCTAGAAGAACCCTAACTCGCTGTATCTCACACACTCTAGTAAAAGTCCAGGCAGCTCCCTGTCCTCCAAGTCAAGGCTCTTGCCCATGACAGCACGTAAGCACATAAGCGTCATCTCTCAGCTACTTGGACCACAGTGCTTATTTATTAGTTCAAGTGACAGGATGGAAACAGGAAAGGAACGAAGTCTAGATGATCAGAATCCCTGTCTTGCTTTGATCTTCTCGATACCAGCAGAGGAGAGGTTGGCTAGTGCGAAAGTCTCATACCTGTTCCTTAAGTCCAGGGAAATGTATACCGAGCAAGATGTGTAAACTTCAATGATTGAGGGAGGGTAGGTTGACTACACTCAAGGATAGGTTAGGGTGGAGGACTACGGATGAAGGAAGGAGAGAGGGAGCAAAAACCACACGCACCTAGGAGATGCTGCTGCCAGGTGCCCAGACCCCGCGCGGCGGTCTGGCCGCAAGCACGTGTGCGATACGGAAAGCAGGAGGGGCCCACCTTGCAGCTTCTGGTTTTCCTTCTCCATCCGGAGGAGCAGGATCTGCTGGAGAATAGCCTTCTGCCACAGCTCCCGGAGCTCCCGGGGCGTCCTTCGCTTCCCCTCGGGGGCAGGGCCGAAAGGGCCATCTTCACAGACTGGCTCCAAGGGAGACCGAGGGGGCAGTTCTCCTCCCAGCTCTGAGTAATCTGCGGAGGGAAGAGCACATACCAGAAGGGTCATTTGTCGGTGAAATCTTACACTCACCATACGGTGCCCAACCGGCAGGCCCTGCTCATTTAGAGACAGTGACACCGCCAACTTCAAGCGGCAAACTCATGACCAGCCAGTCAGTGTCAGCTCATGGCCCCCGCACGGGACAGGTCGGCCGTTCCTGTGGGTGTCTGAGCCGGGACTCTTTCGGGGAGCAGACACCCTCAACTTTCTCCCACGGAGCGGCTGCCGACCTTGCAGTTAGCAGCACCATGCATGACCAGCAAGCCACCATGGCTGCCCTGGCCACAAACGGGCGCAGTACGCACATGCCACCACGGTAGCTAAGAAAATGTTCCAAGACATCCACATCTTGAAGTGCAATGGGTTTCTTAAAAAAAAAAAGTGTCTGGCCAAGTTAAGACCGGCATGTTGACAGCAACAGCAACTATTCAGGTCACACTCCCTGTGCACCACTGTTCCACGGCTTTGAGATCAGTGATTGACATAACACTCACAACCTCCCGATGATGTGTAACTGCTCATGTATTGGATAAAAGCAAACAGGCCAAGGGGGCTTAAGGAACCTGATGTTCATCCATTGCTGTGAGCTGTCACTGCCCTGGCCCCACGCACAAAGCAACCAAACGCAGCCTGGTGCTGGGAGATCCCCAGGATGCTTACGGAGAGGACTGCTATGATCCAAAGAGATCTCGGGGGCTGGTTTTCAAAAGTAGATCGCCAGGCCTTTCTTCCTAGCTCATCTTAGTCTGGAAGCTTTTGCTGATAGTTGTCGGCATCGTGGCCTCAGGCAGCCTCCACTGACAGATGAGTAGTGGCTAGGAATGAGGCGAATCAGCCGGGAATCAGTCCTGGGTCTCCCACGAGCAAGGTGGGAATTCTACCACTGAGTTAATGAGGGGGGCTTTGAACAGCTCATGGAAAAGTATGATCTGAAAAGAGAATGGAATTATCTCACCAACTTTTGGAAGCTCCTTGCGAGGGTGAAATATTTTGGAAGATGGCAAAAACATACTCAGAAACTAGGAGTAGCAATGGCCACTGAAGGCCCCTCTACCATGTGCCCCACAATTCTATTGATTCTTTTAAACCTCCTCACATGGCACGCCTGTGCACCCTTGTCAACTGCAGCACATCTGCTACTGGTGTGCAGCGCTGCTGTTAACACGCACCTCTTTTTCAGACATGCGTGGGATCGTTCCACCTGCTCACCAGGACACTGGAGTGCAGAAGTCCCCAGGCAAATGGGCCTCACGAGACATGGTGCATCCCGGAGGAGAGCGTGGGTGTAAAAGGAAGCTTTGTGGGTAAAGTGCTGATCTCCAAGCAGGATGCTGGGGAAGCCCTGGGCGGACAGCGAGAGCCTCCTAAGCGCTCACCAAGGACGCGTCCTAATCCTGCGCAGCACGCTCCAGCTCAGCGCTCTGTGCCGGCTGTTCTGCGCAGTACACGGAGGCACTGACGGCTCAGTAGTCGAAGCGTGGTTTGATTTCCTGCTATGAAACAAACACCAACTCTCAAAGGTTTAACTTCCTGAAGGAGTTTCTCTCTTCATGCTTAAGATGACGGAATTAAAATGCTCATAGGCAATTCTGTAATAATGTTCTGAGATCGCTTTAAAGCAGTGACTTGTTTATCATCTTTATTTCTTCGGTGTCTATCTTTCATGATGAGGCTACTGAGTTATAGTCAATTAACATGGCCCTTCCAGCCATACTTCCTTATGTGACATCTGTCATCCTGGACTTCACGTGCCTGCGGCTACAGTCCTGTGCTGGGGGGCATTCTCCACTAAAGACCAGGAGCAGGGTGGGATAAAGGCTTAGGACAGGGTATGAAGCAGGCCCCACTTTGTTTCCTTGATGGCATCTTTAAGACTCCACCTTAAAACTGGTCGCAAATCAGGCCACACTCTGCTTTCCCTGGATACGCACTGGTGCTGCTGTTCAATTCCACATGTTCTTCCTTCCGCTGGAAAGTCAGACCCCCGTTGTCCTGAGGGAGCTTTGATAGAAGCAAGATGACTGGCTATGTGGTCTGGACATTTGGGGTTTCTGACTCTGGATCCCCCGTTGGCCTACCTCTGCCTGACTTCTGATTTGGGACCAACAGCACCCACCACCCCATGAGACATTTCCTTGGGTTCTGTTGAGTTCCTCCTGTGGGACGCTGCAGTGAGTTGTGGCCCCCAGGGACACAGGGAAACATACTGGTGTGTGTGTGTGGGGGGGGTTTTTGCAGCTGAATAGCATCATGGAAGAGTTGGACATGTGGGGCATCATAATCTCCAATTCCTTGAGACTTGTCTGGTATTAATTATTCTAAAAGAGATTATTACCACATCTGCTGATGAATGAATACATTAAAATTAAATTTCTTTTGGGGGAAGGCCAGAAATAACTAGATAGCTCTATGTACAGGTAATGCTGCACAAAACATTAAAAATCACGAATCAAAATGCTCTCTCTGACGTGAGCTTGCCTATAGAAAGAGGGTAAGAGGCATTATAGTTGAGTGAGCAACAGAGCTGCCTGGACTATACTTGGGACTCTCCCAATTCTTGTTTTTAAGGTCGGCAAGTCATGCTTGCTCAAGGATGACTTGACAAGGCTGATTCCTCTCTGCTTCAGTTTCCCAGTAAGGTCAAGTGGATGTGAGCAGTACGGCTCTTACCGCCAACCATCAGGCACTCACAGCGGGCGTGCACACACATACACTACTTGGGAGGAGACACACCGACCCTCTAGCCACTCCGCTGTAAGGCAGCAGGGCCCTGCTGCCCCATCCACCTGGTGTGCCCGGCACGGAGTGGTCTCATGGTACCCAGCAAGTGCTTGATAAAGAATTGCTGAGCAGAAGCAGCAGCAGGTGCAGGTGGTGTTATTGTTCTCAAAATTTCCTCTGTTTTCTAAATCGTAGGAAGGCTTTTTGAAATCACAGCAAGAAAACGAATGCCTGGAGTTTCTGATTTATAGCTAATCCTGGTGAGGTCAGCAAGCCGGCCCGATCACAGTGCCAGACAGGGCCCTCAGCCCCAGGCCCCGGCCGCTTTGGATAGACGAGCCCTTCACTGCGGGGGCTTCACTGTGCACCGAGTGGGGCGTCTGCAGCATCTCCGAACGGTCCCTGTGGGTTTCCGAGGCCCTGCTGCTAAGAGTGGGGCTGGGGCTAAGGAAGAAAACTGCACAGCAATGGGGAAGAGCTTCTTTCCATTCAGAGCAGAAAGAAACAGCGTGGAAGGGGCCCCTGACCACTGCCCTTGGTATGACCAGCTCCGAGGTCTCAAGGGGCCTCCAGAGAGGCAACTCATGAAGACTGGGCGGTCCCTCACAAAGCCTGGGATGCCCTCTTGCCCTTTCTTTGTCTTTCCCCTCTCCCTCCTCTGAGGCCCAGCTCAAGGTCATGCCCTCTGGGAGGCTGCCTCGGGCCACTCCAGGCCCTGCCCCTTCTAGAAAGGCCTCCCTTCGGTTCCCACAGCCCGCAGCAAACCTGCTGCGACCTCTGGCCCCTGTGGTCAGGATACTCTGGGGCGGGCCTCCTTCTCCTGTCAATCACGGAGCTGAACACAGGTAGCAATGGCTGAGTACACAGAGAAGCACGGGTGGCCGAGGCGGCCTGGACCATCCTGGGACGGGCGAGCCAGGGCTGGGAGGGGTGCAAGGGCAACAGCCTCTGTGGCAGAAGGAGTCCCCGCAGTGCAATGACCTAGACGGGTCTGCTAACTGAGAGGCCAGCCACTGCTCCGCGGGAGAAAGGGGTGGCACTGTGTCGCCCACAGATCCAAGCCTGGGGAGCCCTGCGGGGTGGCTCTGCCCTGCCCGTGGGCTGACCCGTCACTGAAGTGGCGGGTCTCTGAGGCAGTGGAGTCTGGGGCTTTTCCAGATGGCAGAGACGGGGTAACACACGTCCAGAATGGAAAAGAACCAAGCAAACCATCACCACTCCCTGCCCGGGCCCTACAATGCCAAGACGTCCTGACTGGGGCTCAACTTTTCAAAGCAGTTTTGTGCGTGAATTATTCCTCCACACTCCTGCTCCCCCAACCGGGGGAAGGGAGTAGTGGAGGGTGGGGAGGATAAAACTTTACAGGAAAAGTTTCACAGATGAGGTAAATCAGCCTTGTGAGGATTCCTGCCATCTACCAGATAACATTAGGAAATGCGACCCCAGCCTCTTCCCCCAGGAGTCAGCTCTGTGGGAGAAATAGCAGGAGTGGGGGGCGGGGGCGGCGAGGGGGGGCTCCCGAGAGGGGTATGAGCGTGGTCTCTCTAAAGTGATGCTCTCAAGCTGAGGGGCGGGGGACAGCACCCCCTCCGGAAGGACGACAGGGCAGGACAGCTGTCATCCGCTGCCCCCACACTCCTGGTGATGCCTCGCACAAGCAAACAAAAGAGAACGCTCCGGGCCCCATGACAACGGGGAGTCAGACGGCGTTCAGCTGTGATTCACAGAGTCCTCCTAGGCAGTTTCGAAGCAGGTTGCAGGGGCTTCCTCCCCAGTCGTTTTCGGCCGAGGCTCTGCTGAAGCCTAGGCATTCAGTAACATACAAGCCAATGGTGGCCGGACAGCAAACCGTGGGCTCCCACACGGACAGCTAGAACCCGACCACCCAGGCCCTGCCAAAGGCCAGAGGGAAGGTCAGCCGCTGCAAAGCGTGGGAACTATGGTCGTACCTTGAGTCTGGGGATCCGGGGAGTCACAGGTGGCAAAAGATGAATCTGTCAAATCTCAAGGTGCCAGGCTAGGGAGTCTTCCCGGCATAAGCTCCAGAGAAGAGGCGAGAGAAGGCCTAACCAGGGCAGCCTGCTCCAGGGGGCTCACGAGCATTAACCCAAGTGGGGGCTGGCGCACGCCACTGGATAACCACATCCAGGGCTTTTCTTCCCTATGAACTTCGAAAGTGGCGCCGGATCCGACCACTCAGCTCTCGGTCTCTCATTGAGAACACACGCCTGCTAGTCAGACCCATCTTGAC